CCCCAGGTCCCTCCCCCCTTTTCCCTGCTACATCCCCCTCCCCCCCCCCCGCCCCCCCCCGCCCCGCCCCCTCAATTTACATTTTCACTGACCGGCTCTCTTGCATGCAGACCAGCCTCTGTCTTCTTTACTATTCATTCCATCCAGGAAGAGCACACACCAACTGCAGATGCTTCCTCAGCCTGACAAAGGGTTTTTAAACCCAAAACTTGCTAAGATATATTTTTCCAACTATTCAGTTGGTCTAATAACAGACTGACCCAAAGAACCTTGTCTGCCTATGTCCTTAGACCAACACGGCTACAACCTACATCCCTTAACACAGAAAAGTGATGCAAGTTTTGCCTTAAACAGTTTGAGGTGCACTATTTCCTTGAAACGTGGCAGGCTTCATGCCCTCAGAAGGGGCTACCATCCCTGCTGTTTTCATCCAAATCTGCAAAAAACAAACAAACTGACAAACTATTCGGTATTTTAGTGATTCCCCATTATAGTCTATGGCCAAGTCGGAAATTGGAAATCAGGACAGCGACTTGAATCACCGAATCAAATCACTGCCCTCCAAATTGGCCAAATCAGAATCAAATACTTGCTGCTTCTCATAGGCCTACTCTCCTCTATCTTTCTCCATGTCATTTTCAGTCTTCACCTCTCACAAGAGGTCCATTTAATACAGTCATCAATTACAAGCAGGCTACAGCAATGCTGCTTATAACTCTTTTGCCAGTCTTCACTGCTGAGAAATGCCCTTCAAACAGGCCAATATCTTCTATAACGATACCAGGAACTGTATATAGCCTTTACTGCTTTGACCAAAGCCTGCAATTCTGTCAACAGTAAGGCTCTATGGAAGAGCATATTGAAGTTTGGCTGCCCAGGGAAATTTATCACCATCCTAAGACTCCTTCATGACTGCCTCCATCCTGTGCAGTGGCTCCGCTACAGACCCCTTTGCCATTCAAACCGGTGTCAAGCAGGGTGACATGATCACACCCGTTCTGT